GCAGCACTTCGAAGCCTTGTTTTTGGCAAACATTTCAACCAAGTCTTGGTCTTTGCAGACTTCAACATGGAGCTTACTGTCCAGACACAAATAAAACATTCGAGCTACATCACCGTGCGTGGGAGGGCACTTGTCGACAACGGACCCAAACAAATCTCTGAAGTTAGTCCGGTCAGCATCCACAACCATGTCCAACGAGTACCACCGACCACGCGCATTGGGAGCAACAATCCGGATTTCTAGGTTGAAGCTACTGTCTGCGTCCATCTTACATAGGAGCACACAATTTTTGGACACACTAAACATTCAGAGTAGAAGCCGTGTAAATTTCCTCATGCAAATAAATTAGCTCAAGCTAGAGGAAATACGTTGAAGCTTAAATCATTAGATAAAGATTGTAAGAAAGGATATTCATTATTGCATCACTATAGCTTGACAATGACATGCATATTTATCATGACCAAAAACCTGTTGCCCTGCTGCTTACCTGCATGAGGAACACAGCAGCCGCCGCCAGTTGATGTTGTTGCCGCTGATCACCAGGAGCAGCGCGGACTGCTGACTTGCCGCTCAAAAGCTAACTGCAAGATACTAAAATCAGAGAACTGCACACACTGCTGCAGCTGAACAGATATCTGGACAAGAACGAAGAACGAGCAAGCAAACTCAAACCAATTTCAACACCTATGCTGTGGATTTAGAAATCGGCCACAAGAACAGACGAAAATAAAAGGGGGCGGAGGAACTGCTCGCCGTTCACGAGAGAAGCAGGCAATTTGGCCTGAGGCTGTGCTAGACTCGGCTGCATGACTAGGAGCGCTCGGCTCTGCTCCAACCTGCACTAGCAGCACCAGGTGCCGAGCACCCGTGTGCACAGACAGGAACCGACGAACTCGAGCAGACGAACAGAGTAAACACGAGCTCCAAAAATTGACGCCACAAGCACCTGGGATGGGTATTCTTGCCTCCCAGCCGCGCTGCCTCTAGGGTACCGCCGCCGTCACTGCTCACCCGCCGCCGCCGCCGATCCGGACTCCGCTGCTAGGGTTTGGGGAAGAGACAAGAGAGAGGAATCGAGAGAGAGAAGTGAGATGGCGGTCAATGCCAGTCAATTTGCCCACCGTATATGCACTCCAGTCTCAAGGGGTAAGATGGTCAGTTCTCCTGCTCGGTCCCACATGTCAGACCTGTCAGACGTTACAAACCGAATTGAAGGTGGACGGAATGGCATTGGGGACAAGAAAGTTTAGGTGGATGGCACTTGGGTGTGGCTCAACTTTTTAGTGGCACGTGGGGAACGACCATCTTTTATAATGGTAGAGAGGTAAAAGTCTCTTTGTACTTACACATGCATCCATGCATCTAAGACACGGTTTGTGTTGTGTGCACGTTGCTCCCGAGATGGTCGGTGGTTGGGGTTGGTCGCCATTACTACAGCTACCATAATTGCATCTGCATCCATGCTTACAGAGGCGCTCGTTCCTTGTGGCTTTGTGCTTTGCGTCGCCTGCGGTTACGCCTACCGTGACCCAAGTCTCCCCGTACTCTTTTTTGGGCTCTTGTCGAAACCTTGGCTTGCAGCCGTATTAGTCATTAATGGCCTCGGACATCGCTCACCTTGAACGCATAGGACGTGCATTAATGCATAGCCTGTTTGTGCATTATTGTGCCGTATTGCTGGTAGATACACCATCCATAGGTGTCACGCGCGTCGTAGTGTGCATGGCCTACTCGTGCTTGTTACAAAGTTAGGTCTGCACTGTGGCTTTGTGCTCCGTGTTCGCCTGTGAGTCACGTCAGTAGTGACCCACGTCTCCTCATACCCCTTTTCTACGCTCTTGTCAGACCCTTGCCCTACAGTCGCACTACTCAGTAATGGCACCGCACGTCACTCGCCTCAAACGCGTGGAATTTGGTCGATTCGTTCGTAGTGATCCCGCGCAGGAACCCTAGTGAACCGCGCCAGGACCACAGATCGCTCCGCCTTTATAAGCAGAGCCTGGCTTAGCCATTGGTACCACCACTCGACGCATTTTAGCTCGCTTAGGTTTTCCCTTTGAGTAAGCTTTTTGCTCAGCCCTTCTTTGTAGCCACCGCTAGAAATGGTAGGAGCCTGGGTTAGTAGTTACTGCCTGAACGTTGAGGGTTTTCCTAGAATCCTGCATGCCACCCTGCAAAAGCTCGGAGTCAAAGATCGTCCTGAGTATGAGGGCCGTGAGTATGAGAAGCATGACACCGATCGGTGTGAGGTTACCGTCTACATTGGGAAGAGTGAAGAGTTCCCCGACATCACCGAAGCATGGAGTGTGACCGCAACCAGGTTTAGCTTCACCGACACCTACCAGGTTGTGGCCCGCAAAGCCTTGCGGTACCTTTGCCAGCTATATGAAGAGCCCGTTGCCCATACCCCCATAAGGTTCTTTCCACCCTTGGATAGGAATCGGCGGGCATGGAGGGCTCGTATGGAGGCTTTGCAAGGGCGGGATGTGCAAGAAGATAGTCCTACCGTGGTGCACTTGACCACGTACCTGCTTGCTCTGGATGAGCAGTATGACCGGCAAGCCTTGGAGCTGAGGGCGTGCCTCCGGCGCGCCGAAGAAGCCGAGATCTTCACTCGGATGCTCCAGGTGCAGCTCACCGAAGCGCATGCCAGTGCTGCAGCTGCTGAGAGCCGAGAGAATGCCATGTCATAAGCTCTAAAGGAGGCCGAAGATCGGCATGTTCATCAGCTGGGTGAGGTCTATCTGTTCACTAGGGCCAAGCGGAGGACGCTGGTTGATGAAAGGCAGGATGCCCCGGTCTTGGAGGGGATCCCTATCCACCCACCTGAAAGAAGGAGAACCGGTGATGTAGAACTGCCAGCACCTCCACCTTCGGAAGTGTTAGAAGCAGAACCCTTGGTTCCTCTCACTCAGCCATTGCCACGAGAAGATGCAGATCCATAGACAGGGTGGTAGAAGAATCCGCCGAGCACATGAATAAAGATGCGTGGTTCCAAGGTAGATTAGTTGCCTTGGGATGCTGTACCCGTAGTAGTAGTGCTTTTCGTCGCTGTCCTCCTGTATTGTACTCTTGCCGTTGTTGTCGTCCGTAGTTGTTGGATGCGTGTTGTAGTTTTGCCTAAGAGGAGTTGATCCTAATTCATTTTTTTGTAAACCCTCGCGTTACGAGAAGTACTTGTGTTGTAGTTTTTGCCATTTCCACCTATAATGTAATCTTATCCAATGTTGTGCTTTAAATCTAAGTGTGTTAGTTGCTTGAGCCCAACTCCATCAAATACTTCTTTCCACTAACATGTCATTGATTTGCTGGCCTAGAATACGCACCATGTAATGACAACCAACCTCTATGTTCATTTACAATATTGAGACCAACCTTCCGTACCAATATGATGAGAAAACATATCACACATATAAGCCATATTTCTTAAAATTTTTCCTATACCAAGCACATCACCCGCAGTGAAGCGTGGGCAGCAGTGGCTAGTATATGATAATTTCAACACAAAAGAGCATATCTATCAGATAGCTTTCCTAATACAACCATAGAAATATATTACCAAGACATACAGATTAAAATGAGCAGTTTTGAATTAGGAAACCAGAGAATGGCTGCCACTAAAGGCTACTTTTATATACATCAAGAACAAGGAACCTTTTTTGTCATCAGCCAGAGCAAGCCACTAGACTGAGACATCCCTTTTAGGTACACATCAAATTCAGGCCTTGGTTGTAGCACATGAAACACATTGAAATAAAAAATGTGTACACCAAAAACAGTAAGGTATATATTTAAAATGTATAGCCAATTGCTCCGCTGTATTCCGAAATAACCGGATAAACTAATTTGTATGTACAATATATGAGCCTACATCTCATATTGAGTAAAACAATGTATAAATATGCTAAGCATGAGGTGTCATCATATATATAGAATAAAGCAAGCACAGAAGGCATAGTGCAGAATAGGCATCAGCAAGTATGAATAAAATGGTACCCGAATATACAGCCTCTTCTTTTATTTAGTCTTTCCAGGGAGTGTTCCATTCCCTTGTTGAATTCTTGTCAACAAAGTAAAGAGATCAGTGTGCAGGCAGTAATAAGATTTGGTGATTGCAAACATGCAGTACATTGTTACCTAAGGGTGCCTCTGTTTGTGAGTAGAATCTTATCACATTGTCGTGAGGAACCGATGCATCCCTAGGAATAGAATAAAAGCCGGAGATGAGATGAAACAGAAATACATGACATGTGAGGACAAAATTTAAGCTAACTGGGAGAAATAAGCAGAAGTTCCTGTACAATGAAGAGTGGAAGGAGGTGGATCTACAGAAAAAAGAGGGTTGTGACGAAACCGTAATTTCTAGTGACCCATCGGATGGCCACCGGACACGTATCATGCTGGGGCTGCCGATGTAGCTACCGTGTTGTTAGCGGATGTGGGAGGAGATGGAGCAAACCGACACGCGACACCTCACTCGAGCTCCCCCAGGAGAGCTCCAACATCGGATTCAGGGACGGGCGGACAGCGGCGTTCACCAAAAAATCCGCTACGCAGCTCCAGCAAAATGCAAAATACAAGATTAATGGGTAACAGGAACAAGAGGATTTAGGGGTGTTGGTGGGTCTGAGATTAGCTTGGATCCAACTCCTAAACAGAAGCAAGCCCAATTAGAACCTTTATGCCGCACAGAAATCAAGCTGGATCGAACGGCGATCCTGTCGCCTGAATAAAACCAAAAACACAGGTGTCTGGCAGACAGGAGAACTGAGCAAATATATAAAGCGTCGATATTTCATCAGGCTACCTAAGTCAGCCATCATGAGCATCTTACAAATACATAAAAAGGTAGCGGATGATCATATGACGTTCACCCTAATACCTACATGACCCTAAGACCTCCAACCCCCAAGCATAAAAAAATGTCACAAGCACTGAAATGATGTCAAAACCTGACACATGTCAAAAGCCGACGCATCAGGTTAGCTGCTTCCAAGCAGTTAGAGAGCATTCAAGACACTGTGAAACTCCAGTTTCGCATCGCCATAGGCTTCCTTGAACTTGCTATGCTTTGACTTGAGTCTCGAGAGCTTTGTGCCTTTAGTTTCCATCTCCGCTGCAATCTTCTGGGTTTCCTGGCGAAGGGCCCCAAGTTTCTGCTCGAGCTCAGCTATAGAACTATCTTTTTCATCGAGTAGTGCACCCATTCGGGTTAATGAAGCTGTCTCCACCTCTATCTCTACATCCAGCTTGTCCATTTCTCCAAGACAAATAGTGTTTTGAGATTTGATTTTGACCAATTTGGTCAGGGTGCTATGCAAAGATTGGACACTAAATCCATGTCCCTCCAGATGACGGAGTGTACTAAACTTGTCCTCGAACCATTCCATGTTGTTGTCTATGCTTGCTTTCTTTATATTCCTCACTAAGTCGGGAAATACAGCCGTCAGACCTAATGCCATTCCTTCACGCATTGTTGGGTGAAATTCTCTTAGTGGAAGGAAATGCGGTCGTTGAGGATGCGCACTAAACACATCCATTGTTTCAATTTGAGGCCACATAGCTGAGCTCTTGACAAATAGAGGCTTGCCATCAGCCAGTGATGAGGGCAAAAAGCTCTCAGAAGATGAGCAGCCCCTCAATGGAGAACTGACTATGGTGGATTGTGAGCTCCTAGCATTCTGAAGACGACGTTGAAAGCCCGAGCTCTCATCCACTTTCCCACTAGACTGCTGATCCACTTTCCCACCAGCCTGTTGGACCCAATAGGCAATAATCAATAGATGGGATGACTGTTTCCATAACACGGTTGCTTTTAGCTACTTGAGTAGTAGAATGATCTGTGCACACGTGATCATTTCTGTTCTGATCAGACAAAGGAGTGCCCATCACCACTGAGCTATGTTCCAAATCTTCAGCTAATGTGCCATCTAGCTGCTTCAGATCTTTCCTTGACTTTTTGGTGACCGAAGATCCATGATCAAGACTGTATTCATCACCATTGGATGTCACATCGACAGGGGAGCTTGGATTTTCACAAGACATGGACAATGTCCTCAAGTTAACCAGTCTCTTAGCAACCACAATCCTCCGTCGGTTGCCACTGCAATTGTTTGGGGGCTTGAACAGATATTCATCAGCCAGCCTCAATGAAGAAAGAGACTGTGGTGAAGGCAACAAGCTCTAAGAAGCTGAGCAGCTCCTAAATGGAGAACTGTATATGGTGGATTTTGAGCTCATAGCATTTTGAAGACGACGTAGAAAGCCCGAGCTCTCATCCACTTTCCCGCCAACCTGTTGATCCACTTTTCCACCAGCCTGTTGGACCCGATAATCAAGAGATGGGATGACTGTTTCCATAACATGGTTGCTTTTAGCTACTTGAGTAGCAGAATGATCTGTGCACACATAATCATTTCTGTTCTGATCAGACAAAGGAGTGTCCATCACCAATGAGCAATGTGGGCTATGTTCTGAACCTTCAGCTAATATGCCATCCGGTTGCTTCAGATCCTTCCTTGACTTTTTGGTGGCCGGAGGCCCTGTTCGGTTGGCTGGAAAAACGGTTCATGCTAATGCTGATTTGTTGTGAGAGAAAAACACTATTATTTTGCTGAAACGGTATGGCTGATAAGTTCTAGCGAACAGGGCCTCGGGATCATGACTGTGTTGTTCATCACCATTGGATGTCACGTCAACCGGTGGCCTTGGACTTTCTCCAGACACGGACAGTCTCCTCAAGTTAGATGGTGTCTTAGCACTAGCAGTCACAATCCTCCTTTCATTGCCGATCCAATCGTTCCAATTGTTTATGGGCTTAAGAAATTCCACCACCTTGGTCACCAGCCGATATTCCTTCTTGTTACCAACAATGAACTTATACTTCCACTTCCCACTGATGACCCTGTACACCTCTCCCAACGACCACCCCCTCTACAGTACGCCTCGACCTCATTGCCAGGCATCACTCTCACTGTCCCTGCAGAAATGTTCTAGGGGGTGTTTGGTTGGAGCTACTAAACTTTAGTAGCTACTAAACGGTTTAGTCACTTTTAGTAACTCCAGGGTTATTAGAGAGGAGTAAAATCCTTTTAGTAGCTTTTAGTCATAGTGTTTGATTAAAAAGTTACTAAAGTGACTAAAAGCTACTAAATTTAGTAGCTACTAGACGAACCAAACAGGCCCTAAAGCCGGCCTGATGAACTGCCAATGGACGTACTCCGTGGCCTTCCCCTCTCCCTAGTCCACGACGTAGCTGAGTTCGTCGACGACCCTCGCCACAGTGGCAGTGAACCAGGAGTAGCCGTAAAAGTCCCAGTGCCTCCCCACCTCGACCTTTTCCCCGACCATGTAGACCCGGAGCTTGAAGCTGGGGGCAGCCATCGCCGCACGCGAGGGGACCCAGTGCCCGTGGACGTAGTCACGACGGGGCCGGACGAGGTGGGGCGGGTGTTAGGATCACAGTGGACCTCTAGACCATAGATCAGGGTAGAGCTTCTACTAGATGGGGAAAAACAGTTGGTGTACCTTCATATGGGTCACCCTTTGGTACATGGCCACCGGTGTCGTGGCAACTCCGACGTAGACGCCGGTACCGTGACGTTGTTGGCGTCGTGGTGGCGATACAGTGAAGTCCAGTGGCCCGGTGAAGACCCTGCAGAGGCGACGGCAGTGCGGTGGGGCATCTCATCGCTGGCAGCACTGCTTTAGATCGGTTTAGGTTTTCTCTATCGGTGGGTACAGCGGCTCCGTTGAACCTCATAGTCCGAGCCCTGATCTCCACCTTAACTTTTATATGTGCTGTGCGACAAGGGCCCACCAACCGTATTAGGGTTGGGCGCCCCCGATCAGGGCGCAGATCCAAGGGCCCAATAGACCGTTGGGCCTATTGGTAGAGATCAACCAACATTCCCCCCTTGATCTCATTACTATCTTTTAATTTCATATCATTTACTTTTGTTCATTCCATTACAGATTAGCGCATAGAGCATATTTCATCGTCATGGTCCATTGCCGATAGATTTAACAGCTACAACACACTACTATGTTCTGAAATAGATACTTATCTTTGGGCTTTCTTTTGTCTAGGAATTTTAGGCTTTCCCTTAAACCCATGCTAGCTACATGTTCTCTGAACACGTTGGGTGGTAAGCCTTTTGTAAGCGAATCCACGAGCATCTTTTCTGTACTTATATGCTCAAGACTTATGACTTGATCCCAGACTTTATCTTTCATAACATAATACTCTATGTCAATGTGTTTGGCAGCACCACCTGACTTATGTTGTGAGCATACTGTACTGCCGGATTATTATCGCAGTATAACTTAAGTGGTCTATAGATGTCGTCAACCACCTTCAAACAGGGTATGAATTTCTTTAGTCAGTTCACCTGCCCGTTGTCTCATAACACGCTACAAACTGTCACACATTGTGGACGATGTAGTGACGGTTTGCTTTGAGCTTTTTCATGAAATAGCTCCCCTTTGCAAGAGTGAATACATATCCAGACATAGATTTTCTATCATCTCTCGCATAATCAGAATCTGAACATCCCACTATATGGAGTGAATCAGACCTTCTATACGTCATCATTGTAACACCCCAGGTGTTTGGCTTCCACATTTGCATTGCATTTCACTAACATGAGCATCATGCATCCATTCATGAACCTATATCACATGAAACATGATTTCGAAACATTGCAACATGTTGTATATTTCATGTGTGTTGTTTCTTTTATGAAATGTGAAGTGTGCAACACTCAAGTGCAACATGTGTAACTCACTTTAGTGAAACATGGTTAGTAGTACTATGCAACATACTCATGAAACATGTGAAACATGACTATGAAACAAGTGTAACAATTCCTGTGTTTTTCATTGTTTCAGTACATACCATGCTTGATTCTTGTGTGACCAATGTGTGGTGTGGCTAATTATTCTCCTAAGAACCTTAGTTATACTTAGAATGTCATTAGGAACAATGTTCATGTTGATCATTTTGCCTAATTAGGTTTCCAAGTCATGGTTTGACCAATTTGGGCCCCTAGAGCTCCTGTGTTTGACTGTTTAAAAAGTGTAGCTTAGATTGTTTGCATGTCTGAGCAACCTAAAGCAAAGTTGTAGCAAATTTTATCAGGAACAAACTTTGTTTAGAAGTCAATTCATGAAAATGTGCACAACATGCTCAAAAAGGGCCCACAAGTCAGAAGTGAAAGCTGATTCAACACTGAAAATATTTCTAAGTCCTAATTGCCATTCCAGTTTGATTGAGCTGACTTTGGCTTGATTTTTCTCATGATCCTTTGAGAATTAGGTCTTGGTATTTTAATAGGAATTGTAGACTATATGAAGGGCTACAATTTTCATTTAGAATGTTTTCGCTAATGATCAATGGTTTAGTAGTTTCAACGCTATGAAAGTGCGCTGTCAGGCTCGGTTGGCTTCGCTGAATCGAAAATTCTGAATCGGCACAGTGGCCGACCGGCCACAGGCCGCTGCCGCCGCGTGGCCGCCACGCGCTGTGACCGGCCTGGCGTCGTTGGCCGTGGTCGACAGCAAAGAGACCACGTCCGTCTGCCCTGTCGCTCGCTCTCAGTCGCTCTCTCACTTTCGCGCGCGTCCAAGGCACTGAGAACGCAAAGCCGCCGTTGTCGCCATTGCTCAGCCGAGCTCGTGCGCCACCGTAGCCCTGCCATTGTCTGAGCCAGCATGCCCAGAAGCTCTGCCTTGCTTAGCTCCGCCATCTCTGCCAACTTGCAGCGTCAATCGAGCTTAGGTGAGGGCCTATTGGCCACTTCTGCCGCCGTTCGCCATGTCGGGGTCTCGCCAGAGCGGAGCTCACCGCGGCCACCCACCACTGAGACCTCGTCGTCCTCCTCTCTCGGCTTGGATGGCTCCTTAGTGACCTTGTGGAGCTCATACCGAGCTCGGATGAGGCAGCAAGGGCTCGCCGTCGTTAGTACGCCGCGCCGGAGCTCTGCCGTGCCGCCATCACCGGCGACGAGCCACCTCCGCTAGGTCTTAGGTCGCGCCACTTGCACCAATCGGTTCCTCTCGTCACGGGGATCATGTAGGTAGCTTTGGTGTCGCCGGAGTCCTCGCCGTCGACGAGCAAGACCACCGCCGCGCCATCAAATGCGCCTCCCCTGTTTTCGTCTCGCTGACGGGTGGGGTCGGCTGACACCCGGGTCCCACACGTCAGTGGCTGTGTATTCATATGATAGTTCATTTATTCCAGTTTTGAGGCTGTTTTGTAAAATCCATATCTAGAGTTTGGTAGATCCAAATGTGGTGGTTCGAATTTTGTTAGGATCTTGGTGAAGTGTAGTATTTAGGAAAAATATAACATGAACACTTGTAGTAGAAATTTTGGAAGATTTAAATTGAAACTTGAAATGTGTTTTTGAATGCATGCAAACTTATTTAAATCATATCTTGAGTTTCTGTGATCCAAAAATTGTGAAATTTTGTGTGTAAGCTAGTATTGCTTAGTAGAAGCTCTGGTTAAAATTCGAGAGTCATTGCATGTGTAGTTTTTGAGTTATAGATTTTCCTTTTATCATTGGTGGATACTTGTGTGAATTTTTGTAAATTATCTAGGAATCCTATGACCATGAAACTTGGTAGGTAGTATGTTAGTACCTTAAGGATGCTAGGAAAAATATGAAATCTATTGCTTGACACTTTTCACTAAGGTTTCCTAATTATACCATTTTATGCCATTCTGGCTAACCATTTTTGTGTAGGTTGTTATACTTTACTCAAATGGTGTGAATTTTTATGGTAGTCTACTTAAGGCATGTAGTGTCTACTGTAATTTTTGTAGATTTAATGGTGTAGTTTTCATATATGTTTACTATTTCCTCTAATTAATTAAATAAATTAAGAAAGGTATTAAAAGAAATGTTTTGGGGATGAACACCCTACTTTCTGGTGTTCTTGTGATATGTGTGATGAGGTAGTAAAGTTGGTTTTGTCCAATCATGTGTTTATATCATAAGTTAATAATTATGTGTTTGCATTATGTCCTTCTGGACAGATCTGGGGACTTTGGAAAGTTCCCCATGATATTTTGATTTGCTGTGAATGGGATGAATATAAAAGTTGTAGATAATTTATGTATCTAGCTCCTGTCAAAATTTGAGGGCATTTGGCCTAGTAGTTTAGAAACTACAGCTGTTTAAAGTTAGGTTCCAGTTTTGCTTAATCTCTAGTTATGGCTAGTTTATTGTACGGTTACATAGTCTTCATTTTGCTGAAATACAAATGCTTGAGTGTATGTTGTTGCAATGTTCTCGTTGATTGTTTAGGGGTTAGCCTAACTTGAGAATATGCTTAGGTGCAGGTGCTAGGTCATTAACTGAAGATGAGCAATTATACATTAGGTTGTATAAACTTGGTAAGTAAAGTGATTTGAATAGGGCTTAAATTGGAATATGCAAACTACAACGAACATGTGCATTCCCCGAGCATCCATGATATTTATCTTACGCATTCATGCAATAGGTGTGCCGGAGGGAGTGACGTTGCTGGAGTTCGAGGGAGCCAACCAGGAGGAGGAACCTGAGGTGCAGGAAGTCGACGAAGCAGTCGCCGCGGAGGAATTGCCCGAGTGCCCTGACCACCAGCCTTCCTCGTTCCTGAAAGGCAAGCCCCGGAGCATATTAAGCCTCCCATGTTTTTACAAATACATTGAGTATCTTTTATTATTGATGATGCATTAAGTATAGGAATTGGTTAGAACCAATTGCTGCATTATATATCCTTCCTTGTCCAGATATCGCACTGGAATCCTATTTAAGTTCAGGAATGGGTTAAATGCTTATCCATGCTTAGTGCGGTAGAAGTCAGGTGATTTCCTATCACCTGCGAGCTTTAGGATGAGGTGGATCATGGTTGGCTATATTTGCTATCATGGAAAAGAACCATGTGAATAATGAATTAAGACCGAGCGGGGTCTTGTGTAGGTTTGAACATAGTGACTCCGTCTAAGTCGTTTAAGGACCGATACGCTGTACGTCCTCATGTCATGTTGAACGCAACCTAACACTTAGCTGGCCGGATAAGTCGTTCCGACCGCGAAGCCTAGTAGCTCGACTCAGGCCGGGGACGTGAGCAGTGGCGGCATTCTAGAGGTAGTAAGGATGTGCGGAGAGCCATTGGCATAAGTCCAAGGCAGGTTAGAGTCCCGAACAACCTTGGCAGAGTGGTTCTCTGAGAATATCGATCTGATCAGACTCACGACTCCTGAATCGTACCAAAGGTGACTTGTTTGTGACTCCGACGGGGGAAGCAGGGTTTGTGTTTAGGAATACCCCTCCAGCTGGATAGGAATAGATTCGAATCGTCGTCTCTCCTGGATAGTGAGAACTTGACTGAGC